AGTCTCTTTAATGAAGGTAGAAATTAAACATAAGGTGAATATTGTTCTTCAGTTTTTCTTTGCTCCTCTTATCTGAGAAGTCTGTCTGTCTGTTATACTTAACAAGGGTCTGTTATGCAGAAATTACAGATTGTGTACTTACCTCACAAAATTAAAGGCATTGCAATTGCATAGATTAATATTCATGCTTCATGGAATTAGCTTCATAGATCATATTCATAGATGTAATATGCTTCACAGAACATGCCGTATTTCTCCAAATTATAGCCCAGACATATAATATTCAAAATTAATTTGGACCCCAGGTGTTTAAAAGAACCAGGTCGCTATATGTAGCCCGCTGATTAATTGGGGACGTATGATTATGAAAACAATTATTAAGCACTGACGTTCGAACACTACCCAATATAATATGAAATAAATTCAAAAATATTTTACTTGATCCCACAATTCCAAAAAAAAACCTTAGGTGCAGCAACAGTGGGTATTTTCACACATACTAGTGGGATACAGTAGTACTTTGTTTTATTTTTTAACATCTGCCATTTCAGTATTTTAGAAAAAGCTAGCATTGACTCATTTTTAAACTTAAAACAAGCAGTCAGACAGTCATGCACAGGCCTGGACTGGGACAGCATTTCAGGCTGGGAGCTTTACCCCCCTGCTTTTATTTTGGTGTGACACCCTGGGGCAACTTCAGCTACTTTCTGTCAGAGACCGTTGGCAACACTGATGGTCTCATGAGATGCCCTCCCTCTCTCAGACGCACTTGTCCCGCCCCGTGAGGGAGTATCTTAATCATCAGTAAGTAGGAGAGACTTTCTATCCAATCAGAGGTGAGGAAGGCGGGGCCTGCCCCTACTTACTGATACTCTTTAACCACACATCAATAAATACAGTTAATAATTCAAACTCTAAGACGACTCACTTAATGGAGCCTATTTAGAAAAAGTGAGTGGCAGGTTTTTTTAAGAAAAGTAGCTTTTCTGCATTATCAGCAGTCTCTACTATTTGATTAATATTCTATTCGCTACTATTGATACTGCGAGTTCAGGTTAATAGTGTCTTTCTCTGAATCATCGTTGTGTATTTTAGACCCCATTCATGGAAGACTGCTCAATGAAGTCTGATGTTTGAAGCAACCCAGTACCCTCCATTGAGGAGTAGCGATTCCACAGTTCCAGTTAACTGCATGGCGAGCCACCCAGGAGTGGATAAGATTGCTGAGGTTTTTTGAAGCCAGAGCTTCGTTTCTATCACGTAGTGGAACACATACCTGCAGGACTTTCCTTCTTCACCGGAGTGTGGTAGGACAAACAATTAAACAAACATAGAACAGGCACCAACAATCGATCAGTTATCAGACATTCCTTCCTACATTTGACTTAGAGACAAGCTGTATGCGTGCACTTTAATTTAGTTTGTTATTTTGGGGGAAAT